GGAAACGCAGTACGTTTCTTCTGGAATTTGAGTCCCAGCAGGTCCTCAGTGTGTGAGAACACAGGCGATCACTCGACGGCAGGACAAAGACTACCTTCCGCACCTGTGTTATGACACAGCACGAACTGTCCTCTAGTCCTCACGAGAAACAGCAGCTCAGCTCAACGTTTTTTCACTCACTTAAATATTTCACTAGTACGGAGCCAACCAAGGAGCCAGTAAAGCACAGAATTATCTGCAATTTTCTGAAAGAAGCTACAACACAGGAAAGTTCTGCCATCAGCTTGTGTGCTGTATTTTGGGCACACTCAGGTCTCTGTCCCCGACTTCTCACACTTCCAGCCTACCCTAGTGACGGGTGTGGAGATGCCCTCGTTTGTCCCACATGCGTCCTCTGGGGTCGCCTCCACGGCCAGCACTGGGGCTGGGAACACCATGCTTTGCACCCCCAGCATAGTGCAGTGGAGGAACTGAGACATCTCCAGGGCCCCCAGACCCCCACAACTGATCTCTGAGCGGCTCCACCTGGACAGCCTGTCCCAGCAGCTAGGTAACCCAGGTGCAGGTCTTGGGGAGCTCGCATGGCCGCCCACACTCTCACAAGGAGAAGCCAGTCACTTGTGAGGAACAGGAGAGTAACGTCGTCATGGGATGTCTCTTTCCTAGAGTTGCAGATGATTCAAGGGCCAAGAGCACTGTGACCTCAGCCAGGGATAACAGGTGGGAAGGTGAACAGATTCTGGGAAGGGACAGGTCTGCAGGTGTCAACTACCTCCTCTGTCTTTACCAGACTGAGGATGAGAAAAGATTGGAAACAGCGAAGAAATCAGTTATCAAAAACTTACAGGCTACCTGCCTTGCCACTTGAGGAATACTCAATAAACATCACACAGGACAGAATGGGTTAAGATGTCAGGCATAGAGCCGGGTGGTTCTGCACATACGACCTCCCAGCAGCATGAACGTGGAGCCACTGCTCCCCGAGGCCCAGAGGTCAGAATGGAAGGGACACTGGACTCAGGCATGGGCTTCCTCTGAGAGGTCGGAGGGCAGAATGGCAGGAACACTGGGCACAGGCTTTGTCCCCTGCCCTGGACACGGCCGGGCCTGGCCACCCAGCTTGGATGCACGCCGCCTCTCACCAGCTCTGTGCACCCCTCACGCCTCCCCCACCTGAGAGCCACAGGTCTAGTGCAAGGCCCAATGTGGACCACAAGCCACAACCGCCTTGCTGACCCATTTGCTTTGGCTTGCTTTGTGGTTTGAAAAAATCAGGAAATTTCATATTAAAACACAGATTTCCGTTTTCTCTTGGAAAGTCAAAAGGTCTGGCAACACTCCCACATGCTGGCAGGCAGAGGGCGCAGGCTAACATCAGCAGGCCGGCAGCGTGGGGCCTGGCTCCCAGCTGCCAAGGTGCCTGGGCCTGGGTGTTACTCATGTGGACTGGTGGCTGGGACAGATTCAGCAGTGCCCCCTCCTCACAGTGGCTCCTGAAGCCACCCAAGCATGCACTCTGGGTGCCAGGAGAGACACACAATCTATCTCCCTGAGGACACAGTTGACTTCTGACAAGCACCTGGGTGGTGAGAGTCTAATGGATAAGTAACAGCATTGCCAGTCAAGACCAAGGTGCTCATGCACAAAACACAACCACTGTGACGTAGCAGCCTCATGTGGCTTTGTCAGCAAAGCCAGGACAGGGGCTCTGAGCACAGGAACACCTGCACCTTGCACGCAGGCCCCATGCCTCCTGGGATGGGCAGCGTGTTTTCTGGATGGTTAGGATCCAGCATCCCTGCTTTACAATCAGGAGCCTAAACCCAGAGCCGATGCCAGAGCAGGCCCCTGGGGGCACCACACTTCTCCCACTCAGGGCAGGCCTGGCATCCGCTTCCTCTACTATGGGGGCTCCCTTAACCAGGGGACTGGTCACACTCTGACTCAGAAGATGCTGCTGGCCACTGAGCAGGGAGGACCAGCAACGACAGGCAATGTGGAGCCAGGGGGCCTCCCGTGTCCTTGGTGCGCTGTGCCTGATCCTAACCACAAGGACGTCTCAGACACACTAACCAGGAGAGCATGAGCCATGGAGCAGTTTAGGTGGAAAATCATGGCAAAGGGGAAAAAAGCCTGTCAAGAAAAAAATACCTACCTTTTTTTTTTTTTTTTTTTTTTTTTTGTCTTTTTCCGTGTCCGGCAACGGCTCGCAACCCTCAGTGTCGCCCCGCACCGGACCGGGACCGGCAACGGGATCGCAACCCTCGGTGTTGCCCCCACGCCCTGCGCTGTGCCTGATCCTAACCACAAGGACGTCTCAGACACACTAACCAGGAGAGCATGAGCCATGGAGCAGTTTAGGTGGAAAATCATGGCAAAGGGGAAAAAAGCCTGTCAAGAAAAAAATACCTTTCTTAGCTCATTCACTGGAAATCCATCTGAAGAGCTAGAGATCTGAATGACAAGTGTGCAATCAGTGGACACCTCATTGTAAAACAACCCCAGCACCTGGTCACCCTAAAAGTGCAATAGGGTACAGGTACAGCTCTGACTTCTAACTTAAGGAATTGACACGCTTCCCGTCTCAGCTTCCAACACCGACCCCGGGCCGTTACCTTGCCACACACTGGGCAGCCGGAAGGTTCTTTCTTGTAGCGGACCATGTTCTCCCCGCTGGCCTCCAGGTCCTCTCTCTTCACCCGCCGCACGCCTGAAATTCCCACCCCGCCAAGCAAGAGAGTGAACACACACAGAACAGGGGAAGACCAGCCAGACCCCAACTCAGTCCAGCGTCCTTCCCAGCTGTGCAGGAGGCGTCACCTGCACACCACCCGGGCATCAGCAACCAACCACTGTTCCCAGTGGTTGAAAGACTGTGCGTGCGATGCCACAAGGTTGGGTAACAGTTCTTGCATCTTAAACATTTGGAAACGTAAGGACATCCAGTGTTCTAAACTTCACAATGAGGCGCTACTGTTGAAGAAGTTACTTTTACTCAACCTAAAGGCTCAAGCTGAGCTGTGATTCAGGTGGCTGTGAGTGGGCAGACATTTTTCATTAAATAGACACCAATATCGATCTCTTATGAATTATATCAGTCAAAGCAGGACCGGGGTGAAGAGCTGGCTACTAATAAGATCCTTATATCTTTAAAGAATATTGTTCAGAACTGGGAATAAAACAGGCTTTTAGAAGTGCACGTGAAACAGGGAATCCTTGAACAAGAGACAAGGGCACTTCTCAGTGTCTCTTTCTACACGCTGATGTGTCTGGGAGCATTCCTGCGTGAGCGGTGTAAACACACAGCCGGACTTAAAACGTGGGTGAGCTGGGTGATAGTCTTTCCCCAAAAGTCTCCAGCAGCGTGGAAGCACCACAGACACAGAGGGTCTGGGGCAGCTCCCACGTGAAGGAGGAACCCACGAAACAGTCAGAGTGTGAGCTCATTCACCCAGAGATGGCCTGAGTGATGTGTTGTCGTGAGACGCACCTGGCTGTGCTGTTCGCTGGAGGGAGCTGGCTCCACAGGGGCAGCCATGGCCATGCTTGCCAAGTGCTTGTGGGCTGGGAGCCTCATGAACAGCCCAGGGGTTGAGTACGACTCTTACCCCCAATGCACCAGTGAGGAAACTGAGTCACGAGACCTTGCCCAGGGCCCTCCATTGCTAAGCGGGGACCAGGTTTTACTCGAGAACACCTGGGCACATCACCCCAGGAATCACAAAGGAAAAGTTGCAGATCTTAATGAACCAAGAAGATGACTTGTGTTGAAAACAAAGAAAGTGCAAAAAATTACAAAGGTGTGGTTAGAGACCTTTCCTTTAAAAGAGGCATAATGAATGTGTATATGCATGTGTACGAATGAGTTTTACTTCATGTACTTTGTATACCTTGTTATCTGATGATGTTTTTTTAGCAAGCACATGCTTCATTTGTAACTCTCTGTAAGATGATTTTTCCCAGACTTTAATAAAAGGTATTTTGGTTGGCGAGTGCCACTAACTGAGGGATGGCCAGCAAAAGGCAGTTGCTGCCAGAGTAAAAATCAGGATCACCAAAATTAAAATGCTAACTTTAAGGAGGGTTTGCCTGAGCAGGAAACGTCCAACCCTCCCAGAGTGGGGTCTTGAGGATGTCCCCCCAGGGGTCACCTGGAGGGGCATCTGCAGCTCCAACCACATGCTTCTCCTGCACTCAGGGCCTCTTCCTGGACAGGAGGCCTGTGCAGCCCCCAGGAGGCATCACACTTCACTCGGGGACTGCTCTGTGGGGCCACCCTCGTCTCCACCTCTAACCCACCCCCTCATGGCTGCCACCTCGCCCACTCTGAAGCAGAGCTGGCCCCACGAGAGTAGGTCTTCTTGCATCTGGCCTCTCAGAACCCACCACTGGACAGGCAGCCCCAAGCCCCAAGCCTGCTGCAAATGGGGTGAGCCATTCACCTGAGGCCACGTGAAAGCACAGAGCACACAGGAGTGAGGGGGAACTTGCTCCAGCCCTCCCCCTAACAGCCCCCAGCAGAACATCCTTACCCATGCATATATTCAAAGCCTGCTGCATGCACGACTGCATATCCTGGTCTTTCCTACTTTCCGTCGTATTGAAAGCATTTTCCCATATTATCTAGAGTCTTTGACAAAACACTGTTGACTGCGTGACATTCAGCCCTCGGAATGGCAGTTTTCTAAGCCCTCTCCCCACCACAGACATTAGTTCTGTTCCGACAGTTTCCACTTGCACAAACTCTAACAACACCCTGTCTCTCAGCACTTCTGTGCCTGAGCCAGGTTCCCAGGGGGGCTACCCCGTCAAACGGTGGGCATTTTAGGTGCCGTGTCAGGCACTGCTGAGGTGCGTCCCGAGGGCTGGGCCGGTGCTCCCCAGCTCACCCCCGACTCACACACCCAGGGGAGCGCCCACCTTCCAGGTGCCGCCGCTGGTGGTCCAGCATGACGTCCTTGCGGTAGAACATCTTGTTGCAGACCTCACAGGCGAACTTCTTGTCCCCGTGCTTCTTCTTGTGCTTGGAGAGGTTGCTGTTGGTGGAGAAGAATCTGAAACACATCTCACATTGGAACGTCTTGTCATCTGTCCAGAGAGCAAACAAACACACGAGGACTTTGAGGGAAGGGACCCAAAGCCTGGGCTCGAGCACGTGGTCTCAGCCATGGCGACGGAACATGGGCAAAGGGCAGGGGAGTCACAAGGGTGGTGTGGCCGAGAAACATGCCACGCAAAGAGCAGGTCCAAGTGCGCAGGCGGCACCCCACCCCTTCCAGGGCAGCATCTCCCACAGCATTTGGGATGATTTCTCCTGGCGCAAGCTGCCCGCAGTGTGGCCGAGAAACATGCCACGCAAAGAGCAGGTCCAAGTGCGCAGGCGGCACCCCACCCCCTCCAGGGCAGCATCTCCCACAGCATTTGGGATGATTTCTCCTGGTGCAAGCTGCCCGCGCCGGCAATACCCTTGTCTTTCCCCGCCCTCACCCCTGCAGTCCCCACTTCCTCAGCCACCAGCCGCTGGGCTACTCTTGCTGCTGCTGCCACCTTCCCTCATGGTCACCTGCCCCAGGCTCCTTCCCCAGGACACACCAGCATCCCCAGACTTCCCACTTCTCCAGAGCCGGCGTGCTCCTGGACCCCCTTTAGTAGACACCCACCTACTCCCACCACATACTCACATTCAACACACACATACCACCTGCAAAACACACATCCCACATACAAACACAATACACACACCCAACACACACCACATGCAAACACAACACACATACACACACACCACATACAAACACAACACACATTGACACACACACCACATAAAAACACACTACATATACTCAACACACACACACCACATACAAATGCAACACACACACACCACATACACTCAACAAACACACACCACATGCAAACACAACAGTCATACTCACACACACCACATACAAACATGCTCACACTCAACACACATTCACACACATACCACATACAAAACACACACACCACCTATAAACACAACACACACTCACACCCAACACACACCACATACATGACACACATTCAACACACATACCACATACAAACACAAAACACACACACTCAACACACAAACATCACACACACACACACAGCACACACTCTACAAAGCCTCCAGAGACACCCGCGTCCCTGCATCCCAGGCCTCACCTCTAGTTCCTCCTCAAAGGCAGCCAAACAGGGGTTTCTGCTCCACCCGGGACCCCCGACAGTCCCACACCATGTACCAGACACCCAGGAACCCCCCCAACGCCCACCCACTCTGCCACTCCAGGTCACCTCGGCCCTGCCGCCCCCATGGCCAGGATGCCTCGGCTCCCTCTCCTTCCCATGTCACTGATGCAGGTAGCAGACACCACCTTCTGTCTACAAAGCGAAGGCCACCAGGGCAGACTGTACTGTCTTCGTTTCTGGGCTCTGGGGCTGTAGCCCACTGACCAGCTCTCAAACTCAGTAATGTTTCCAAATCTACATCAGAGGCCACTTCTGCAAGAAATCCGACCACTGGTTCTCCCTCCTGCTGCACAATACAGTCCCCATGCGCACCTACGTACCCTGGCTTTCTCGGCTCAGCACTGTTGGCAGTCTGGGCTGGGGCTGTCCTGTGCTCTGTGGGACATTTAGCAGAATCCCTGGCCTCCACCCACTAGTAGTACCACCATTCTAGAAGGCCAGTAGCAACCCCTTGTCCTCAGACAGTTGTGACAACCAAAATGTCTCTAGACTTTGCCAGTATCCCTGGGGGGCAACCCCACTCCCCCAAGTTGAGCTCCATTGGCCAGGACCAATGAAATTAGATTCTCTGGGGCAGGACTCGGGCCTCTGTATCTCCACTCAGGTGACTCCAGTGTGCAGCCTGGGTGGAGAGCCAGAGAATGAGACAAGCTCCACCCAAAGAGAGTACAACATCGGGCTGTGGTTTGAACATCCTCCCAAGCTCATGCTGAAACTTATCCCCATTATGGTATCTGAAAGGTGGACCTTTAAGAGGTGATCGGATTAGTAGAGCTCTGCCGTCATGAATGGATTCATTCATTCAGAGTACAATGGGTTATCAGGGAGTAGACTGGGGGATTTGTAAGGAGAGGAAGAAGCATGTGGATATGCTCTTGCTCAGCCCTCGCCATGTGACACCCTGTGTTGCCACAAGACTCTGCAGAGTCCCCACCAGGAAGAAGGCCCTCACCAGACGCACCCCTTTGCCCTGGACTTCCCAGCCTCCAAAACTGCAAGAAATTAGTTGTTTCTTCATAAATTATCCAGTTCCAGGTACTGTTAGAAGTGACAGAAAATGGACTAATTCACATCTTAACCTCTCCCCCTTGGGAACACAGACCAAAGAAAGGTCATCTGCACAGAGACCAGGCCACTCCCAGGGTCCTGAGGCAAGAGAGGCAGTGACAGGGACACCAATGCCTCACAGGTGCTGCACCAGGAGACCAAAGAAAGGTCATCTGCACAGAGACCAGGCCACTCCCAGGGTCCTGAGGCAAGAGAGGAGGCAGTGACAGGGACACCAATGCCTCATAGGTGCTGCACCAGGACAGGACAGGACAGGGAGAGATGGTGCCCTCCCACAGCTCTGACCACGGCAGGGAGGCGGCCCCTCTGCAAGAGCAGGAATGGGCTGTAGTGGCCATGCACAAGGCCCAGGAGAGCAGGTTTGCTCCCCACAGTGTGCCCTTGACCCAGGGCCTTCCGCAGCTGGGCCTTGAGAAGGCCATCGTGGATGATGCTACACTGCCTCTAGAGCTCACTCTGCTCCTCTCCTTTCCTAAACAGACACGTCGTTCACACAATTCCCCTACCCTCCCGCTTTCTTTTTTGGTTTGGCAGCTGGTGGTCTTTGTCCACATCTACACAGCCCCACTGTGCATGCACTCGCACACTGTATGGGTGGTACACATGCTTATGATATTGGACATCTTCATAATTAATGGCCAAGTAATATTCCATTTCACAACTCACTCCATGGCTTTTGATACTATAGATGATTTGGCAATGCAACCTTTACTAATGTGGCTTTTCTTCTACTAAATTTCCTTAGCATTAATTCTGATGAATGGGACCACTAGAGCCAGTGCCTCTGCCCCCGGCTTTGTGAGGGGCCACAACTTCATACTTCTGTTCCATCACCTCACAATGACACGTCCCCTAGCGTGGGCCTGCTAAACGGCACAGGTGAGTCTCCTTCCCATGCAGGTACTGAACAGCACAGATGAGCCTCCCTCCCTGGCAGGTACTAAACAGCACTGGTGAGCCTCCCTCCCTGGCAGGTAATGAACAGCACTGGTGAGCCTCCCTCTCAGGAAGGTAATGAACAGCACAGGTGGGCCTCCCTCCTGGGCAAGTACTAAACAGCACAGGTGAGCCTCCTTCCTGGGTAGGTACTGAACAGCACAGGTGAGCCTCCCTCCCTGGCAGGTACTGAACAGCACAGGTGAGCCTCCTTCCTGGGTAGGTACTGAACAGCACAGGTGAGCAGCCCTCTCAGGCAGGTACTGAACAGCACAGGTGAGCCTCCTTCCTGGGTAGGTACTGAACAGCACAGGTGAGCCTCCTTCCTGGGTAGGTACTGAACAGCACAGGTGAGCCTCCTTCCTGGGTAGGTACTGAACAGCACAGGTGAGCCTCCTTCCTGGGTAGGTACTGAACAGCACAGGTGAGCCTCCTTCCTGGGTAGGTACTGAACAGCACAGGTGAGCCTCCTTCCTGGGTAGGTACTGAACAGCACAGGTGAGCCTCCTTCCTGGGTAGGTACTGAACAGCACAGGTGAGCCTCCTTCCTGGGTAGGTACTGAACAGCACAGGTGAGCCTCCTTCCTGGGTAGGTACTGAACAGCACAGGTGAGCCTCCTTCCTGGGTAGGTACTGAACAGCACAGGTGAGCCTCCTTCCTGGGTAGGTACTGAACAGCACAGGTGAGCCTCCTTCCTGGGTAGGTACTGAACAGCACAGGTGAGCCTCCTTCCTGGGTAGGTACTGAACAGCACAGGTGAGCAGCCCTCTCAGGCAGGTACTGAACAGCACAGGTGAGCCTCCATCTCAGGCAGGTGGCTCCACTAGCCCTGGCACTTGACGCCCATGGAAAGTAGCAGTGCTACCTCTGGGCTCTCGTTTTCTCTCTCACACACCCCTCTTGGCATATGGAGAGAGAACCCACTTCAAACTTAAAGCCTGGAGGTGGGCTCTGCTCAGCAGGCTGTCCTGGACACTGTCACGCCTCGTGTAGCTTTTCCTGACACAGGCACCCACACAGTACCAGTTCAGGAGTCCAGACAGGCACCTGGTCCCAACAGCAACCCTTCTCCCACCAACAAGCCTGCTGCCATAGAGGCCCATATTTACGTTTTAATAAACACAGCAGCTGTGATGTGACTGGATTTCTAGGGCAGCCAGGCTGTCCAGGAGGCTGGTGGTCCATATCTTGCCCGAGGTCCTGAACTTGAGCTCTTGCTACTCAGTGTGCAAGTTTGATGGTCAGAAGCAGTGCAAGGGACATTTAGATGAGTCACATGGACAGCTCGGCACACCACCAGGGATATAAACGAAGACAAGCCCCACTGAGTAAGTGAGAAAAACCCATCAGACTACAAATTCTAAAACTTTCCCCACCAAGCCTGCTGCCATAGAGGCCCATATTTACGTTTTAATAAACACAGCAGCTGTGATGTGACTGGATTTCTAGGGCAGCCAGGCTGTCCAGGAGGCTGGTGGTCCATATCTTGCCCGAGGTCCTGAACTTGAGCTCTTGCTACTCAGTGTGCAAGTTTGATGGTCAGAAGCAGTGCAAGGGACATTTAGATGAGTCACATGGACAGCTCGGCACACCACCAGGGATATAAACGAAGACAAGCCCCACTGAGTAAGTGAGAAAAACCCATCAGACTACAAATTCTAAAACTTTTCCCCACTTTATACAAATTCTTGGTTTAATGATTTGAGAAAGATACACGTTCTCTTAACTTGAATATTATAAAAAGTATAACAGCATGCAACCAGCACATAATGCAGACGAGCTCGGTTTCAATGTTTATCCTTTATTTTCAGTCTAAAACTTCTAACCTTTGCAGTTAGTGCACCTTTGAAGAGAGGTTGCATTCTGATTCACTGCTGCCCTGTTACTTCTATGTAATTAGCAAAGGTAAACGTCCACTTTGACAGAACTTTTAGCTGACATGCAGCACCTGCTGCTTTGGCTCCTTTTATTGCTTCCTGTTTCACTGTGTCTAGAGAAATGGTTAAAAATAAAAAGAGGACAGCTCTCTTCCTCAGCCTGAGCCTGCTTCACCAAATGCCCTGGATGCCGGCGACACCCTCACTGCTGCACTGCACAGAACCATGGGGGCAGGGAGGGGCACGTCCTGACTCTGGCTAACAAGTAAAATTAAGGTTTGGTCTCACTGACACCACATAAAATGAAAATTGGTGGATGTTCCCCAAATTTCTTGAGAACACTTGGAATAGGGGGACTTAAAATGCAGGTGGCGTGATGCTATGGAAGTTCATCTGGAAGCTTCTGGAGGCCACTTCATGCCACAGACATGCGTCCTCATAGCAGCTAAAGCTCAGGTCACATGTGACTCATGCCTGCCTCTCAGAACAGCCTGGCCGTGGAGCGGGAGGCCCCAGGGATGGAGGAAACAAGCTGCAGCTCCAAAGGGAGCCCCTGAGGCAGAGCACACAAGCAAATGGGCCACTGGATATGCAAGGGGTGGGGCTGGCGGCTGCAGGGCTGCAGCTCACAGCCTGCGTGGTGGCAGCCCTGACGTCTGGAGTGATGCAGGGCAGTGGCCCCCTTCACGAGAACTGACAGGAGGCACGTGCCCACACGGCAGTGCAGGTCAGCAGGTAGTGGGCAGGGAGCGCTGAGCTGGCGGGTCTCTAGGTTGCTGCCACTGTCCCCCACCCGGGTTTGCTGTGTGTTCTAGAGAGAGAGAGAGCACAAGGCCACGGCGACCCTCCGGCTCCCTCTGCTGGACGCCTACTGCTAGAGCCTTGGGGGCGTGACCATCGCTGGGAAGTGGGGGCAACTATGGCTTCCCACTGCCCCCAGAGGGCAGCTCATTGTCGCCACGAGCACAGGTGTCCCTGGGCCTGCAGAGGACTGAGGCAGGTGGGAGGGACAGCACCCCTCTGGCTGTGACCCCCTTGCTGTGTGTACTTCCATACATATATTTACTCGCCAGCCACGACCTCGTCCCCTCCCCATCTTGCCTGGTCCTGAGAAGCCCCCTGGGCCAAGGAGCTCCCCTCCACCACAGGCCGCTCCAAGCACAACTGGCTTCAGCCTCACAGAGGAAGAGGAATTTCCATTTTACGTCTGGAGACTGGTGGGCAGAAGCGAGCTCGGCCCAGAGATGACCTGCTAGGTGCAGAGCCTCTGTACCCCGTGCCTCACACCACGCCCTCCCTTTTCCTTCCTTTCTCAGCAGCAATGGAAGAAAAGGACCCTGATGTGGAAAGCTGCCATCTGTGTATCTTTACGACGAGTGACCACCGTGTTGCAGAGAAACGAAGAGAGGGAGATGTTAAAAGTGAGATGTCTATTCATTAGAATGAGTGATCTTCATGTCCTCCTGAAGCTGCGTGGTCCCTTGCAGCACCCTGAGAATCCGCACTGGGTGTCAGCAGAGGGGAGGACAGACTGGTGTCCCTCACCTGTCCTGCAGTTGTGGAACTCCAGCGCACTCTCGATGCGGAAGGTCTTCTCACACGTGCCACAGCGGTGCCTGTACTCACCATCGACCTGGTCAGACAGGACGCATGTCAGTAAGACAGACCGAGGCGGAGTGGAGCAGAGGAGGAGCCCCTGTGAGCTGTCCCAGCAGCTCCACCAGTGCATCTATCTCATAACTTCTTCCTCTTCTACTCCCCTACTCGATTTAGGAAAACAAGAATTTTTCACTTTTTTTTTGATTATGCATAATTGTAGGGTACAAAGCTGACCGTCACCAAATCAGCATGCCCATTACCACAAACTGAAATTCTTCCTCAAGTCCCCCACCCAAATACCCACCAACCTCTCCCCTACCCCCTGCAGCCCTAGGTCTGTTCTCTCCCTCTGCAAGTCCAGTGCATCATTGTGGTCTTTCTTTCCTTCCTTCCTTCCCTCTCTCTTATCTCCCACTTAAGAGTGAGAACATGAGATAGTTTTCCCTCTGTGCCTGGCTTATTTCACTCAATATAATTTTCTCCAAGCTCATCATCCATGTTGCTGCGAATGGCAGAATTTCATAATTTTTTATGGCAGAGTAGTATTCCACACTGGATATACACATTGTCCTTATCCAGTCATCCACTGATGGACATTAGTTTGAGAGACTCCCATACATGGGTAACCACTCTGCAAATGTCAACCGCCCCACCCGCTGACCCCTCCCCCTGCCCTGGCAGCATCTGACCAGGCCATGGGACAGCTCTTCTCCCTCCAACTGCTTCTCCTCTTGGTGATACGATTACTCAGTCAATTGTCTGTTTCTCCCACAGACTAAGAAGAGAGCCCTGGGGCATTCACCCACCTCATTCCGGCTGTGCTTGTAAGAAACATGCTGCTTTAGGCTCTCTTTGCGGCTGAACAACTTGGCACATTCCTCGCATTTAAACAGCTTGTCACCTAAGGATCCAACAAGAGAAAGCTGATTCACTACTTCAAGTATTTACTAAAAAAATGCACACCCCGCCTCTGAATGAAGAGGATCTCTGACGGGGCCTACAGAGCCCCCTCTCCTTCCACCTTGGAAGGGGCAGATGGCTGCAGAGAAAGTCGCCTGTGGCCACGGCTGCAGTCCGTCACCCGAGCCGCCCATGGAAGAGAACCCAGCGATGGGAGACGTGCCACTGCCCTCTCGCCACTGTCTGAGCCGGGCCGGGCCAGGCGCCCAGGACCAGTGGCTGGGCTGTGCCGGGGCAGCCTCACCGTGCGAGCGCACATGCCGGCTCAGGTTGCTGCTGTTCTGGAAGATCTTGCTGCAGATGCTGCACTGGTAAACCCGCTTGTGCTCCCCGAGTTGTTTGATGAGCTTTCGCCGGATGCCGTGTCTGCTCGAGAGAACTAAACTCCTCTTGAGGGTAATGGTGTTATTCTGATGATGGGTGAACCTGCCCCATGGACAAACACATTGGTAAAAGACGTCTTAAGTGGGAATCTGCGTCACTGGGGCAAAAAAGTTCAAGGTTACAATCACCTGGGAAACAGTCTCCTTCCAAAACTTCCTGGCTAAACCTGGGCCCCTATGTGAGAAAGGAGGTGTCACCCGCCAGCCTCCAGGCATCCAGAAGGGAGAGACACCTTGGGTGCACAACAGCATCAGGTAGGCTTTCCTGTAGCGGCCACACAACTTACTGTGTACCGCAGGCCACCAGAAACCCTGGGGCTCAGTTTGTGCCTCCACTGGAATAGCCAGTTGTGTCCGTTTTTCTCACTTGGTCTTGATTCTACCATTTTATATTTTATCTGAACCTGATTTTAAAATTTCTTCTCTCTGTGAAATATATTAGTGATGGTAATCCACTTAAAATCCTCTGGGCAATAAGGAGTATAAATAAATAAACAGGCAACATAATTTCTGACATTACTTTGGTCTCAGTTTTCAGTATTTCCACAGGTTCATTGGGCACATTTTGACAACTGTAAGAGGCATTCCGAAAAGGCCAAAAAAAAAAAAAAAAAAATTACCACCAGCTTATCCCACTTCAGGGCAAAATCTTGCCCAATAATAGTAAATAA